TACTATTTCATATTTGGAGATTAGGCTCTTTAATACTCAATAAATTGTTCATAAAATTGTAGCAAAATGAACTGATATTAGCTAAATTAATATAAATATTAGTCTTGGAAATGAAAAATAATTGAACGACATATCTCATTATTGTGATATTACTGTTTGGATCGGATTTTTTTTATTATATCATATGATATGGTTTTGATATTACTAATGAATACTTATACAAATATTGGTTAATTTCAAGCGTCGATTTATAACTTTAATATTATGCTGGCTATATTATTATGCAATACACAGATAACAATTTTGTTGATGGCATGATAAATATAACTTCTTATAATTAATATTGCAGATTAAACTAACGGTATACTATTTTTTGCCATCAGGATTTTTTATTGGTTGGATATAACAGATTGTTAAATAATATTTCCAATCAATAATTGTGATGGTTTATTTCTACTAGATTTGAAAACCATTTGATTATGATTTACACATAGAAAACGTTAAATCTCGTTTAATTATTTGATAATAGTGCTGAATTACATTGTAGCCATTATATTAAACAAATATTCAAATACTTATTAGTCAAAAATTAGTTGTTACTATAATTAATTTCAAATATTGTGCAATTTTATGTAGTATAATTTAGAAATTTATTATTATTAAATGTGTTTTATTGTGAATAAAATATAAGAGATTTATGGGAACTTTTTCAAACTGAAATTGAGCTGCTTTGACATTTTTTAATATGATGAATACGTTTTTGAAATCCATATTTTATTTATTAATTGTACCTAATGCTGTGATACTAATCTGATTTTTTTATTCTTAAATACTCTGGGGCAACAAGTGAGAAATAAATATAGAAAAATAAATGAAATTGTAGAAAATAACAATTAATATATCAACTATTGTAATAATATGCCAAAGGAACAATCCAAAATCTTTGTATGTAATGTTACTATAGATGTGTGTGCTAAATTTTATATGAATATGCCGCCATAATATATATTAGGTTTTCTATTTTAATAATATACATATCGCTTGATGTACTTTAAAAACTGGTTTCATTTTTTGTCTGACTTCCATATATTTTTGTCATAATATTATCTATTACAGTGTGATCTTTTATTTTTGTGATATTTTTATATGTGTAACAATTATTAATTATAACTACCATTTCATGAAAACAACTTTTAATATTTACATAAATACAAATCATATATTAGTAGTTCTTCAGTGACTACTGAAGGTTAATGATGATTTCTTTTAAAAACTTCGTATGAACTCACATTTCAAGTAAATCATTCAATAATTCACTATCATATCTGAAACATATTTCTCTCTTTGCATATTTTATTCACATCATTTTCTTTCATTCTAAATTGCTCATTTCTTGTAGTATTAGCTATTTATTTCATAATATATTCCAAGTAACAATTATCTTCTATTAGTCACTGACCCTGATGTGTTTTTAGATGAATCATCCAAAACTTTAATTGTAAGTGAACCCTTGCAGCCGTTCTTCCAAACTTTCCATCTTCATCGATGATAGTTGCTTCGATATTTGCTACCCATAATCCTGGATTTCCTAAGTCAACAAAAAACTTCCGAGAAATAGTCATGGTTAGGCTTAACAGTCTGAGATAAAAATTGACTCGCATCTGATGGCTTTACATCAATATTTGCGCCCAGCTTAGTTTGGAGCACTGAATTCAATGTTAGATGTATCTGCGCCACTGTGCGAAAGTAGATTTTGCCGCCAGTGTGTATTGGACTATACCTTCAACTTTTACTACTAGATGGGTATTTGGAACATGATTTATGGGTTCTCCTTGAACTCTGGGGACAGGAGTGATATTCAGTTTCAACGAAGTACTTGAAGAACCTGGAAGAAAAATCTAGGCATGCAGAATGGTGCCGCGCATAAGAGCGCTACTTGTTCTAATAACTGCGCGTTTTAGGAGTTATCATTTTAGCAACACCTGGTACAAGACTTGCCTGAAATTTGTCAGATATATCCATTATCATGTTGCAATGTTGAAGCAAATGCGTCTTTCTGGATTTGTAATATAGCTTGTGGTTAGTTGTTCAAAATGAACATCTCTGGTGTAACACATACGTTCTATGGAAGTGGCAAGAACATTGTTCGGTACCTCAACAATTGCAGTAAATCCAAAGTAGCAGGGTCTGCATCAAATGATTTTTGATACAATTTATATATGCTTCCTCATTTTTCTTAAGCAAGGTAACACATTTACGAAGTTCCACAATTATTGGTCCGTATCTTAACAATTCATCTTTGTTAACTTGTGCGACCGACTGGCTGATAAAGCCGGAGGCGTGTAGACCAAATAACAGCATAATGTCACTTGCAGCAAAGTTGTAAGAACTCTAATCTTAGTTTTAAATAATCTATTTGAAAAGACATAGGTATAGCTGTAGAACTAGCAGGTCATAGCGGTCACGGCACGATTGTAGTGAATTATAGATTGATTTAAGATATCGGGTATGCATCTATTCGTTGAAGCATTCACACCTTCGAGGTCTGAAATGTATACAATCTATAATTAACTAGATGCACCAGAAACAATATCACAATTGGCTAATTAATAAGAAACAACTATAAAGCCATAAATAAATAATATAAATGTACCAATAACAATTATTTTAAAATGTACTTATTTTGCGCGCTAAAAGTGTGCTCTTGATAATATGTATGATGAAACAGCTTTATATTACAAACTATTACTAATTTTGATATTATATAATTGATAGTGATGCCAACTCGAATCAAGTGATTCGAATCATTCGAATCAAGCCCTTAACAACCGATTCGAAATATTTACTGTGATACGATACATGAACATAAATTTTAATAAAATGAAATAGAAGTGAATTAAATCATGCCAAGCCACTCGGCTTCTATCGACTCATTAGAGTTACTCGCATAATCCGTATCAATCCAATCATTCGAGTTACTCGATTGCACACAAGCCATTCAACTCTGAACACATGTGCAGATATAACAGCGACTTTGTGTTCCTCGATGGCTCCTTGTGTTTGTGAAATATTAATACTAATTTTGATAATAGATATGTATTTTAGAAACCATAATTAATTCAATAGATTCAAAAACATTTATCATTGTTTTATAAAATATGTAGTAGTATGGATTTTAAATGTTATCAGAATAAACCTCTATTATGAAATCCTTGATTAAAGTTTGAATATAAAATTTCCTTTAAACAATTATTAAACACAGTAGGCAAGTAAATCATTATGCAAGTAATGGTAAAATTACGACAATGAAATAATAGCAATCTTTATGATCATGGACTGACTTTTTCGCCACTGCACTTTACATTCAGCTTTCGGTTTAGACAAATACATTAAACACACTATCAAATGAACCATAATTCTAAATATGTTATGATTTGGTGATGCAGAAATGCTTCGTATCATTATTCTAAATCTAAACTAAGTTGAAAATATATAGTCAAGAGCCGTGGGCGGATGACAGTATGTATTTTACGACACCTGAGATTTTGTGCATCGATTCCTCTATACCTATCCTACATGAAATGGGGACTGACTAAGCCCAAAGTGGCGGACACAGCTACTGCGCAGCTGGTAAAGGTACCTTTTTTCGCCCATATCGAACCATTTTACGACGGTTGCCGTTTCGAAAATTTGAAAATATATATTATTACTATCGTAAAATACCAATGGCAGACGATTATCGCGCGGTTAACATGGTGGCAGACGATTTTGAAAATGCAGAAAAAAAATTTTTTTGAATGTATTTTACGATGTCTGCCATTTACATATTTTATTTCCTTATAGTATCAAACCTTATATTTATCACGGCAGACGTGTACCTAGTGGACCAACATCAGCAGAGTTAAAAAACTCAGTACCATTTGGCCTGATAGTATGCATAAATCTCCATGTTTTATACCGATATAAGCAATTCTTTCATAATGATAAAACAAATTAATATTTGTTAGTTTATATGTGACATTTATAATGTTGATGAGCGAAAAAAGATTTTTTACGCTAAATTCGTAAAGATTAAAGTATACAAACGATAACAACAATTATTGTAATGTTTATTCTATTTTTTTATTTATTTTAGTCTAATTTCAAATATTGTATAAAAATAAAGTTTAACAATATTATATATTATATAATATATATATATAATATATATATATTACTTTCTTTATTTATTATAATCTCGGAGCCATATCTCGCTTTTGATGATTCCTCATCATCCGCTGAATCAGATTCTATAAAAAATAAATCAGATGTAAATAAAAATTATTTGAAAATCCAACTGAAGATGTTTGATAAAGACGAGATTCTCCGACCATACTTAAAAAATTAAGCTGAATAGTATTAAAAAGATATTGTATGTGGGTTCTTTGTTAAGCGTAGCAAACATTTGTTGAAGATCGATTTTTTTCAGAGAATTGTAAGGTCTTTTTTTTGTTAAAGAAGCTGGATTGAAATCACAACCAGTAAAAGCATGACAACAAATTGAAATTCTGGCAAACAACTAACCAGTTCACTTCGTGATGTTAATATGGTTATTTTCAACCCCATTTAGCATCCAAATATTTGAATTACTATATTCTTAGTTATGTCATATTACCAATTCATATAACCAATATTATAATGATATTTTGCAGTATCGAAGGCTCTAATAGGAATATTGCAACGATATGCTCAGCGATGTTACGCGCGTTATTGATAATGTTTGTGTCAGGTTCTTCATGTGAAGTACAAAAAAATCTTCAACAACACACGATTGGACATTTGTGATTATCATTGTATAATTGACAGTCTCAGAAATTCAAATAAATTAACAAATTTAAATAAAAAATTCGATCTTCAACAAGGGTTTGCTACACTCGGTTTAGCAAAAAAGAAATTTAACAGGAAACCACCTAAGATATTTGCCCAAATATATAATGCAAAAGGACCTAAATGACGTGGTTCTTGGACGGTACAAACTGTTCATTAATAACTATAAAGTTTGCAATGTCAATGAACAATTCAGCAGAAAAATTCTAAATTTTTGGTGCAAGTTCAATCTCGTGTTTTATCAACAATTTTAAGAGCCCACTATAACTATATTAGGAATAATATCTATAACAAGCAACCAACATTGTGGGCGCATTAAAGTATGGTCGGAGAATCATGTCTTTATCAAACATCTTCAGTTGGATTTTCAAATAATTTTTATTTTACATCTGATTTATTATTTTATAGAATCTGATTTAGCGGATGATGAGGATCATCAAAAGCGAGATATGGCTCCGAGATTATAATAAATAAAGAAAGTATATATATATATATATATATATATATATAATATATATATATATCTATATATATATATATATACAAATTGTTGTTATCGTTTGTATACTTTAATCTTTACGAATTTAGCGTAAAAAATCTTTTTCCGCTCATCAACATTATTAAATGTCCACATATAAACTAACAAATAAAACATGGAGATTTATGCATACTATCAGGCCAAATGGTAGCTGAGTTTTTTAACTCTGCTGATGTTGGTCCACTAGGTACACGCTGCCGTGATAAATATAAGGTTTTGATACTATAAGGAATAAAATATGTAAATGGCAGACATCGTAAAATACATTCAAAAAAATTTTTTTCTGCATTTTCAAATCGTCTGCCACCATGTTAACCGCGCGATAATCGTCTGCCATTGGTATTTACGATAGTAATAAATTATATTTTCAAATTTTCGAACGGCAACCGTCATAAAATGGTTCGGATATGGGCGAAAAAAAGGTACCTTTACCAGCTGCGCAGTAGCTGTGTCCGCCACTTTGGGCTTAGTCAGTCCCCATTTCATGTAGGATAGGTATAGAGGAATCGATGCACAAAATCTCAGGTGTCGTAAAATACATACTGTCATCCGCCCACGGGCTCTTGGTCTAATATTTCAACCGTCTTCAAAATGAAATCATTTTAATAATATTTGTAATATATTTTTTTGATAGTTATAATTTTATTTGGTCAAGTATATTGGTGAAACTCAACCATTTTAACTTCTCGAAGGAGAAGTTTATGTTTTCATCAAAGAGGCCTATCAAAAAATCCGATTTTATGATTTCTCGACGTTTCAAGCCATTCTGAATCGAATGGTACCAAACTTGGAAATATGTGTGTGTGTATATGTGTGTGCGTGTATGTGAACAGATTTTTTGCCGTAAATCGAGGTTTCTCAAAAACGACTGGACCAATTTCAAAAATTTAAAAGCCATTCGATGTATCTCGATGAGGACTAGCGTTTATCAATTTTGTGCGACGATCGGCCAAGCAGTAAATAGCAGAAAAATGAAAAATTTTTCGTCCACGTTTTAGCCCGCATTCTGAATCGATTTTAAAAATTCAAAAACCGTTCGAAAAATATTGGTTGGGAATCGTGCTGATTAGTTTTTGGTAAAGATCGACGGGGCCGTTTTCTTGTAATAAGTGTCAAAAAAAAAATTTCGACGATTTTTATGGATTTTTTTGACGGTAGATACCATAGTCTTATAGATCACACTAAAAATTACGGACTTACAAGTCGTTTAATTTTAAAAATTCGTTAAAGTTTGAAAAAATTAGTATCGTTTCCTCTAACCTTTCATCAATATTTGCTCAAACACGCCTGAACCGATTTCAGAAATTTAAAAGCCATTTGATGTATCTCAATGAGGACTATCGTTTGTATGTTTTGTGCGACGATATGGCAAGCCGTTTTTTATAATTTGGAAAAAGTGTTAAACTTTACGTCCACATTTAAGCTCATACTACCGAATCGATTTAAAAAATCAAAAACTGTTCGAATCATGTTATTTGGGAATGATACTGATTAGTTTAGGATTAAACCTACCGAGCCGTTTTATTGTAATTAACTGTTGAAAAAAAATTTAAGCCGAATTTCATGGAATTTTTTTGGCGATATATCATGGTTTTATAGAACTTACTGAAATATTATGGTCTTACAACAAATAGTTATTTTAAACATTCATCAAAGTTTGAGAAAATGAGTAGTTTTTTTTTGACTTTTGTTAAAATTAATATTAGACAATTTACTTGGTATAACGATAGAGTACTTGATCTTAATAAACATACTAAACCGTTAAAGTCCTACGGAAACTGGTTCAGTTATAAAAATTATTGATTGTGAAAATTTGCTTTTAGAAAATTCTCCGAGTTAACGTGTTCGTTCGTTTTCAATTATGTGTAATAAATCCACTCGGAATACTTTAATCACTCATAAATTAATTTATTTTTAATTGTACCAATACCAACTAATTAACATAAATTTTACATTGATGTTTGTTTTCGTCTTAGCTTTTGTTTGTCAATATTTAGGCTTGATTTGATTCTGATTCGTATCACTCGAATAAGGAAATTTTCGAGTCAGCACACCACTAATATTTAATATCTGTTTCATTTCTGAAATTTTGTTGTCCAATTATAATCCATATATTAATATATTGACTTGCATAAAATCCTTTTACAAACAAAACTTAGAGTGCAAAAATATATATGCGAGTTAAATAGTATATTTTATAAATATGTAAAACAGAACAGAAAGTAATAGTAAGAGTAATAGAAAGTCTTTACAGAAAGTAATAGTAATAGATATAGTCTTTACTTACAATTGGAAACATTTTCTGCTCCTTGCAAAATGGATTCTCCCAGAGACATTTCGTAAAGGGCATCAAACCAGAAATGTGAATGTTCTGACCATACTTCTTCTGATAAGCATTTCCACAACGGAAAGCTCATCTCATGATGTCCATATCTTGCACAACATCGAGCAATTTTATATTTAGACCATAATGAAACTGTCTCCAAAGTTTTTTCATTTGCTCTTTGTGTCTAAAATTAATCAAAATATTGAAACAAAAAAATCAATAACATAGCAATTAAATAATACTTGATAATTACTGAATAATATTAAGAAAAAAGTATATAAAATTGTGAGTTTCGCCAAAATTTTATTTTATGAACCTTTCATATTTTGAGAACTAAAAATATACAATATGCATTTTATTAATAATAATTACCTCATTTCAAGTTTAGTAATTAGCGATATCTGTAATATCAATGTAAACAATCTTTCAATAAATTGAGTTTCTTTATCATTGGTATAATTAATATTTGTATTTTTTTCTAGTATTTTCATTATATCAGATAAATAAATCAATAAGGGATTATCATCTCGTGAATTTGCACTAATTGCAGCTAAAGCTTCAGTGACAAGCAAACATTGTGCAACTGAATATCCAGGTGTCTGGTTCAGCATACCGAACATAATTTAGTAAAATACTTAGAATAGTTTTCACTTAAAGCAGCAAGCTGAACGGCACATTTTAATATTCGCACTAAAATATTTTCAGTTTTTGCTGTTACTAACTGAACTTCTAACTGATTCTTTATGCTATATTCAACTATTTGTAATTTTAATTCTGCCCCTTTATTTTCTTTATAATAATGCCCTAAAATACATGTAATAACTTCTAAAGCACAGCAGCTTGTCTCTCCATTTGGATGAACTAATGAATCAAGCAATAACGTCTGTAAGTGATCAGATTCAGTTATCTTTACTTGGCATCCTACAGGACTATCGGCTAATTTTAAAAGTACCATTAAGATCTTAGATTTTTCTCTTGCGCTGATATTTCTATTCATTCCAGCTTGTACTATGGCTTGTATAGCTTCTAAAGGCCATTTTACAGCACCTTTTACTGCAAGATCTTTAAGCATTGCAGCGTTCTAGATCTAACTAAAGTTCTAGGATCTTTAAGGTATAGAAGTAGCAATGAAAACGGGCAGGCACATCAACCATTGTTGATATTGATAATTGCGTTAAAGATTCTAAAGTTGTTATGATAAATTCCTCAGCAGGATATTTTGATAGTAAATTCAAACAAAGTGTACGAACTAAAGCAGCCGTTTTGGCATCATGATGCATGTATTGTAGAATTGGAATCAACTGTAGTTTCCTATTATCTGGAGTGGCTTGTCCTTCTATCATATCTGACATTTTACCACACATCGACACAGCGAATGTTTTACTCTGAGCTGCAAACTGCATAGCTGCTGTAATTGCAGCATCAACTTCCACTGAATTATGACTATCTAAAGATTGGCGAATAGCATGATGGACTTGTTCTTTTTCAGGAATAATTCTAGCAACGGCTCCTAGGGTTCTAAGAGCCAATCCACGAGCTACTGGGTCATTAGAACTGTACACAATGAAAATACGTCGAACAAACTCATCAATATTTAAAATTTTGTCTAAATGTTTATCAGTTTGTTCACAAACTTTCAATATCCATAAACGTAAAATATTATTACCTACACGAAAAACTTCAGCAAGTTTTAATAGTGAAGAGTTAACTAAAATGGGAAATGGATACTTTTCAAATAATCTAGGAAAACGAACAATAGCCTCACATTGATCGCCTATTTTTGTGGCCCTAAGGGCTTTGTCGAGTTCTGTAAGAGCTGTATTTGCATCTTGCTCGGGTTCTCCTAAACCAGATTCTATGTATCTTGTAGCTAACATTTTGAAAGTTGTCTTTAATATTTAGGTTAGGAAAGGATATTTTATCTCAATAATTGATCATAACAGTAAATTGGTCATTTAAAATCTAAATAATGATTGAAGCAATATAGTGAAATAATAGAATAGCATTCATGACCTAATTAAAGTTCATATAACAAATAAATAACGAAAAACTATCACAAATTTTTGACGTTACATTAAATTTGTTTACATACGTTGCTGTGTTGACTATGACTTGAAGTATATAACAAAAACCAAAAGTCACTTAACCACTTTCTGATTACTTCAAAATTGTAATTTTTAATCTTTTTTATTTTTTTATATTTTTATGCTTATTATATATGTTTTTATATATCTTTACGTTTCAAAGGTTTCTGAACATTTTGGCATACCTTAGAAAAAATTGATGTATTTGTGTGTGCGTGTGTGCGGATACAAATTTTCGTCGACGATTTTGGTTTTCGTCGTTAATTCTAAAAATATCATGCATATTTACTCTATATTTGCAATCCTATCTTTATGGGAAGAATACAACTGAAACGTTTATTTTTATAGCATTATACAGAATACTAATAAAATTCTAATAAAGAACTGTACATAATATTATTATATTGTATTTTAAGATGTACTAAAGAAATATATATATTTCTCTTCAATCAGAAAATCATCAAAACTGTGTACACTATGTTTGCACATAATCTAAAATTTATTAGCATTTTTTATTTTGAGTAGCTCTTCCAAGCTAAACAAGCCAGTACAGACAAAAAAAAAATCTATATTTATGGAGAAGCTATAATTTTTAAAGTAATATTACTTTAAATCATAAGAAACTATAAATTTAAAAGTAATATTATATTTAAAATTATAGCTGACAGTAGGATTCCAAGTAACGATAACAGAATCTAATCACTTAGAGATAATGCTATAACTTTGCAATTAAAATAATGTAAAATATATATGCAATAATATTCTAAATAAATATTTAAAGCATTAAATGATTAAAAAAGATCAAATATATTATGATACATAAACAATGATTACAAAAACATTATAACATAATATTGAAATCTCTATTATGACAATAGTTCAATTAAATAATTGATTAGTTATTGGAAATATTTCATATTTATAAAACTAAAAATAGTTATAGACATTTGTAATCAATCTGAGAATATATTATAATAAGCTTATACTTCATAAAGAGCATAAAACAGCTCCATATTATTTTATCACAAAAGCGTCATCATATAACTAAATTTTTCAAAATATCTATTTCAGTAGTCAGTTAATTTGGTACAAGTCTGTGATGCTGAATACCTGCTCGTCAGTAAAATATTTAATCATCTATTTCAAATTTACTTTATGACAACAAGAACATATTTTATAATTCATTGGCATTATAAACATATAACATTTATGCAATTTTTTCAATGACAATAATAAAGAAAAATATCATAAGTCAAATTTAATGAATTTATGAAAAAAATATTCGCTATAACACATCGTATAAAAAGTTATAGAATAAATACATTTAATTAAATATTCATTTACATACATATCTATATACCTATATATTACAACTTAATTATCCTTACACCTATAAATATGATTACCCTCATTCTATATAATAAATATGCAAATATATATATATATATATATATATATATATATATAATTTATAATCACCTATTCAACCATTATAAGGTGCAACACCTCATCTATATCGATTTCTAATAATTTTAACTGTGAAGTATTGGCCATGTCCGATACACTTGTGTCATCAGCTAAAGTACTGTTACCAGCAGTTTCTGATTTATCTTCATTTGAAATATCTGATATATTTAAATCAGTTGAGGTATTCGGAGTGTCATCTGATGGTGATTCTGATGTAAACTCTGTTATGGATTTCACTGCTTCTAAAATGGCTTTGCTTGATGTTACTTCAGATTGTTCTTCATTATCATCAGATTCTTTATTATTTAGTTTACGCTTCTTTGTGGGAGTTTCATCTTCTAAAATCATATGTTTAGGATTCATAATATGTAGTTTTTGTATCTTATCATATATCAAGCTATTTCATGAAACAAATGTTACAGTTTCAATTTAAAACTTACATTAGAACACTTTTAAAAGCTTAAATAAAATTATAAAAAGCAAGTTCTGAAATACTATGTAATATGTGCAGCAATCTTAAAAAATGACAATCGATTTTCATGATGCCACAAAAGATTTTGCATCTATCAATTCTATTGTAGTTTGATTATGTTAGATTTGAAAGTGATACGAATAGTTAAACTCAAATTGAAATCAGGAAAATAAAGTGAATTTTAAATCTACATGTTACTATAACAAATACTAATTTATTACTTTAACTGCCTGAGGATTAGAAACTTAAAATTGTTGATGATATTATAATTTAAATATGTATTTATATTGTATATAATATTACAACAATTATATTTGTTTTAATTATTTGAATAGATTTATATCACTTTAATATTATATATTTAAAGTTAATTTCATTTTTATGAAGATGATTTAAAATAAGAAGTGGTATCACATTGTTTCATAAAATTGCATAATTTGATGCACATATAATGTTAATCATCAATGTTCAAATAAAAAAATATTTAGATATTTTAAGAAATAACTATTTGCATTAATACCATATAATTTTTTTCTAGTTTTGATAAATTCCTTACCTTGTTGAACCAATTCAGTCACAGCTCTTTGTTTCAGTCTTTCGAGAGCATTCTGCAAACTTGATGGGGTTTGCAAACCCCTATTATTAACAGAACTAGTTGGTTTATATTTTAAAACTAAATGTAAAGCCCTAACATCACCGCGAAGTCTCCGAGCACCAGTCTGCAGATCTACACGGGATACATTATCTGATAACGTTGTACACAAATTTTCTATAAGACGACATGTCTGAGGAGTCAAAACGCGTATTGAAATCTGTTGAAAAAAATATATGTTTAATATATTATTCGATAATATTCATTTAAATTCTAAAAAAAACCATACAAAACATAGTTATAATTGTATGACGGCTTATAACGAAAAAATATATAACTGATATATATTCAATAATATTCACTTAAATTCCACAAAAAACTATATAAACAAATTTTATGATCGTATGACTGGTTATAATAAAAATAAAAAATATTTTTATAAAATTTAAGTATGGTTTTAAGAGTAAAAAATATTAATAATTAATATGAAATATTTACTCAGTATTTATTAATATTGCAATTACTCTACCTTCGGAAAAAATGTCTGCATAAATTCCCATATTTTAGGATCAGTTAGTGATACTCGTTCATCTAACAAAATACAGTCTACATATTCTCCTAGATAAATACTATCAGCTAACATTTCTGCATTGCCACCTATCATTGCCAGCAAACCTTAAACAAATTTATTACACAATATTATAATATATAATATATTATAATTATATAAGTTAAAAAAAGGTAAATTGTATTTAATTAGGGCTTTAAGTCATTTTACTTAAAAAACTAAGCACAATTTTTTAAAGGATTCATTTCAAATCGGTAACGTTTTTAAAGTGCTTCATCAAAGTAACTAAAATATCATAGTTGTATGAAAAGTGGTTTACTTATAAAAATTATTTAAAATTGGGATTATTCGGCCGCACTTTTAGAAAATACTCTTTTAGGCACGTGTTTGTTTTTCAATAATGTGTAACAAAAAAATTGTACAAAATTGAATAATCTGCAATAGTTTCTCACATTATGAGCCCTATATCAACTCAGCATTACTTATAAATCACTCATAAATTAATATATACTGATTTCTTATTCATAATGTCGAGTATTTACAAATGTTGGAAAGTTCATGCAACTTGCCTGAAGGTATTTTGCCTTACAACTAATTATAAATTATTGAAATTCTTAAAATACACAATATTAAATATTTAATAACAATATATCTTTGATTCAGAATACTGTGTGATAATTACCTTCTTCGTTATTATTGTGTGCCTCCAAAGCATCTATCCAGAGAGCTGGAAAATAATTAAAATGCAATGGTGCAGCTTCGTAACCGGTCATAGCACTTAATGTTATAACATGTTCAGCATGTGAATTTATTGTTAAGTTTCTTCCTGGTACTCCACGCAACATCTGATCTACAAATTCGTGATATGGACGATAAAATGAAGCTAGAGCTGCGTCATATTCAACATCCACTCCCTAAATAATAAAATTTCATTAAAATACAAATTTAAAATTAATAATTATATATAATATTATTTTGACTTTTTAATATATAAATATATCCTATAATCATGATTTTTTAGTGATTGAGTTCTTTATATATAATTTTTAATTAATTGTTGAGAGGATAAAATACTAATGTTGTTTAAAAAACTTAAAAAAAAACGTTTTAATTAATCTATGCAACTACTGCTTAATTAAAATATAATCTGGTTTTCAAAAAAGCATTATACATTTTTACCTTACATATTTTATACAAAATAATACTAACCTTGGGGCTTTGTATCTGTGTATGGGGCACATACATTTGAAGCACAGGCCTAGGTGGCCTCGGAGAGTTTTTACCATGGGCATGCTGCAATAGACCACCACGAGAGCCCCTTCTTGGAAAATACGGTCCAAGAGGAAAAGCATTGGATGATGATGATCCTGAGCCTGAAGCAGTTGGTCGCTCATTACAAGAAGATGATGAAGCACCATTTGTGTGGAATGAGTTGTGAGAATGTGATAGCAACTGAAGTAAAACTGTACGAGTTTCATCTGGTAATAGATGCATCAGCTCACATAACATTTCTGAAAATAATAGATTATATGGAAATTAATGTCATTCTATTCATATGTTAATAAACTAGTCAAAACAAAAGTCAAAAATCAGTTTGTGGCGATTTGTAAGAGAAAAAAAAATAGAAATATTTATTATCTATTATATAAAAATAACTCGGGTTTTCCCCTTCCTGACGAAATAACTCCAGAACGCACGAACCGATTTCGACGATTTTGCATTCGTTGGAAAAGTCTCGGGCTCCGTGAGGTTCATAGCAAAGAAAATGAAAGAAAAATTTCAACAGAAAGCGGAAAAATCTTTTTCACATACAGCGTCATATCTGATACTTAGCATGTACTACAAGTAAGTAGATACATTGTTTGACACCTACTCATTTCCTTTTCAAATATAAAATAAACAAAAATTTCTTCATCTTTCTCACGAAACCATCTGGTGGCGAAACGGAGTTCGCTGAGTTTGCTAGTATATATATATATATATATATATATAGGGCGGGTCGATTTGTATGGGCGAAAAACAGTCACATAGGCATTTATGATCAAAACAAGATACTTTGCGGAAGAAACCATACCTCTAAAATAAATTCATAGAAATGGACTTTTTTCCATTGGAAACATATTTTTGATCTATATTTTCAAGTGAAAATCGCTACTACACGATATCAGGTCTTCCAGAGCGCGGACTCAGAAGCTACTCCATGAGAGCCCCATATATATCAAAAATAGTTAACAACAATCAATTTCACAAACCTATAGAAACTTGTCGCATTTCTGGCGGATTGAACGTATTTAGCAACGTAGCCAATCTTCTTGTTAGGTCGACCAACGGCTTATTGCACGTTACGAGTGTTGCCCTGCACTCTCGATGCTCCTTATGCCTTCTCAGACAATTTATCAGCCCAAAAGTTTCAGTCAAAAGCTCTGTCAAATCTTCAGAAACATGACACGCTGTTGCCTCATGATACATGACATGCAAATTGTGGAGAGCCTGAAAAAAAAACAAATCGTCAAAATAAAACTTTTTTCATTGTTTTTAGATCTTCAATTTGTATATCAGTGTGCCTATTTTTGTACATACGGTTTTATTTCTGTTACTTACATTTTTATAACGATTTATAAATTCGAAAACCTTGTTTATACAGTTTTGATAATTATTGTTCATTATTCAATATAAGTTAATCGTTGTAGGCAATAACAATATTAGCTTTATTATTCATAAAAAAGAGAATAAAATATTGAGATTGACTCATTTGCAAAGTTTTTTTTTTTATTTATTTTTCATAGCAAGCTATACAAAGTACATTCAGCTATATATTGTTACAGGTATATATTATTTGACTGCTTCTCAGATGTTATGTGTTTTTTTGAGACGCTTGTAAAAACTTACCATTAATTAATTGCATCATTAATGTTTCGTAATTCCCGAAATTAATTAATTTCGTAATTAATTTCGCTAATCGTTCACGAAGAAGTTTTTGTTTTCGTGAAAAAATACGATATGCTAAATTTATGTTCTCTCATCGTTTCAAGTCATTCTAAATTGAATGAGACCAAATTTGGAAAAGTGTAAATGTTTGTATGTGTGTGTGTGAGCCTATTTGGATCTTTCGTCGACATTTTGCTCAAAAACTGCTGGACTGCTTTCAATTACCAAAAAAGTGTAAAATTTTTCGTCCACGTTTTAGCCCACAGTTTTCAATAGTTTCAAAAAATTCGAAAACTGTTCGAAAAATGTTCACTGGAAATCGAGTTGATTAGTTTTTGGTTAAGATCGCCCGGGGCATTTCTTCGCAATTAAATTTTTTTGACAATTTTGATGATTTTGTATAATGATAGATTTTGTAGTTTGGATAATAACATACTGAAATATTATAGGCCTACGAAAAGAGGGTAAATTATAAAAATTCATCAAAGTTTAGAAATTCGGCTTAAGCTTAAGCGATTCTAATTAGAATCTGTGCCAAAGCATATGTACGTTCCGTGTTTTTTATTTATTCATTAAATGTAATTAAATTTTTAATTTACCCGAAATGGATGAAATGAAACGTGTTAAAGAAATCAATTTAATTTATACAATTATAGATAGTATAAGTATGTTTGAAAGACATCAATTGGAAACCGTATTGATTATTAGTGGAAGCGAAAATGTTGTTTTCTAAATAACAGTTGAACATTTTACCTAAATAGCGGAATATCAATTCTTGTTTATTAATACTAGAATGACGGAGCGAGTCAATTTGACTAATTTGTACTATTTATGCTATAATATGTAATATGTAATATATGCTATACCTATTTTGCCAGATACGAGATAAAAGTCAAATTGATCCACCGGTTTAGACAGACGTAACTTATTTCCTTTTCATAAAAAACTATTGTAAACGTTCTGGTGAAAAAGTTTGCATGTTACAATTCGTTCATTCAATGCTGTAAATTTATTCGTTGCAAACTATTCAGTTGAAATCTTTCATTTTGACTTATGTCAGCCGCAGATATAAGAAGCCACCGTTTAGAAGGTGCTTCTAAACGCCAGCGGATCAAATATTACCTTGAGCGAGTTTGATGAGTGTAAACTGACTAAGCCATATTTAGGTTGTAGACCACAAAAATAGATCTTATAAAAAAGTTTTATTATTGAGCTCAAAACATCGCATTGTAAGATTTGCAAAAAATGAAAAACTTGTACCGGAAACTATATCTTTTTATAATAATACTAAAGTATGGAGTCGAAATACTGGATCAAATGGCGCGAAAATATAGTACCAAAGCAGGTTTCAGTCTTGCAAATTGTACCAAAACCCGTTCATGTGTTCTAAATCAATGCTTGGGTCATATATATAAAGATGTGAATTAAGTAGGAATGTCAAAAAAGAATTTCTCTTGCAACTAGCTGTAAATTTATGCGGCATCTATAAAGATCAAGTCGAAAGCGCTTGAACTTTAATATACAAAGATATTGAAAACCATTAAAATTGGTACTAGTGTCATGCAACAGAAACAGAAACAAGGGCACTGTAGCAAATGCTACAAAACATATGCGAAAAGTGTATGCAAAAAGTTTGAAATAAGGTATATTTGCAATAATATTTTATTACTTTGTTAAACTGACTCAATCAGGCAAAATAGGTATGCAACCAACTTCAGTCATTGTAGTGTTAATTTAATCATGTATAAGTATCGGAAAATTAATGCAACTTGCTGTAAGGCAAAATGCTACTTACAGCTAATTTCTAATTCATTTTTAAACTTACATCTAGCACCAAACTGAGGCCGCCGCTCTGCAACACATACAGCTTTTCTTCATCAGTGTCGGCTAGCGTACGCAGGGCCGTATTTAAAGTGCCCCAGCTACCTCTAGCGTCCAAACCCGCCAAATACGCTGCCAACGTACCCCGTCTGAAAGCGGTCACTTCGCGTAATTCCCCTTCAGTTGCTTCAGGACTACGTGCTCCAAATAGAGCCATCAATTTGAATAACTCCTCCACTGCCTAATTCAGATAAAATAGACACAGTCAATATGAGAAGAATAAAATTCAATTACCAAAATTTAAAAAAAAGTTAAATTATTATTTGAATTAATTTAACTTGATAAAATATTGTAATTACTACGTTTATGGATATTGATTTAATGTTTATGATTATTGTATAAATTAAAACCATTAAGAATTATAAAAAATGATTAATTAAGCTTTCAATTTTATAGCTACATTATGTAGCTATATTTTATAATTTTCGAACAACCCAATAGTTTCCATATATGTATATGTATATATATGTAGCCTACATATGGAAACTATTGGGTTGTTCGAAAATTAACTTCGTTTTTATAGACATTTTTGCACGTAATTTTCGTACAATAAACGATTCCTTTAATAAATTATGTATTGGCAGTTCTGATCGAACATCTTTTGTCTTATTTCTGGTGTTAGCACAATTCCGAAATCATAAATATTTTGGTCGTTCTTGGCAAAAAAAACTTATCAAAGAACTTTTTGACAGGCTGATTTGAGGTAAAAATTTCACTGCCTAAAAATTTTTTTAGTGACCGGAACAAATAATGGTCCGATGATGGCAGGTCTGGAGAATATGATGAATGTATCATTGAGTTCCATTCAAGCTTCAAAAGCTTTTGGCGATTGACCAAACTTTTGTGAGGTCTTGCGTCATCTTGATGCAGGACTTGTTGTGGGTTAATTCTGACCTTTTCTATTTAAGTATATCATTTAGTTTATCCAGCTGATGACATAAGGCATCTGAATTAACCGTTATGTTATCTTGGAAAAGCTGAAAAATGAAGATCTCCTTTAAATTCTTTCCAAACATACAGCATCACCTTTTTCTGGCAAATTTCAGCTTTACACCTGTATTGAGTAGGTTCTTTTTTTTTATTTCATGGACAAATGCGTGTATTGTATTCCTTACATCCCAATTGAAATTCCTAATGACAATTCGCTTCAAAACCTGATAATTTTCAAGACTTTTCAGAGACAAATCGTGCGACGATACACGTTTCTTTCTATGAGAATCATACATTGAGTTTCGATGAAAATTCCAGACCTTTTGAGTGGTTATAAACTGTTAAATTTGATAATTATTTACTCAATGGGATCTCATGTATTATTATTGTCGGTTTTCATCAACTAATGATTTTCTCGCGATTTGACTTAACAGTTTTTTTCCTTTTCTATAGCAAAAGAGTAAAATATGTCGAAAATGCTGCTTAATTCTTTCCGTATTCAAAGTGACACCATCCAAAAACTACTGCATGTAATCAATTAGAATTTTTTACACACAAGCCTTAAAATATAAGTTTTCAAACCATATAATAATTATAAAGCTTAAGTTTTATGTTAGTTTCAAAAAAATATAGTTAAATTCTGGTGGTAAAAAAACGAAGTGACCTTATAATTAACATCTCTTAGGATAAGTTATAGTAATCGCAAAAAAATCGAAAATGAAAATGTTTATATATAAAGGTTTCTAAACATTTTGGCATGTCTTATTATTAGAAAAAATGGATGTGTGTGTGTGGATACAATTCTGGTCCACAATTGCGTGAACACTAATCAACCAATTTAAATAATACTTACTGCTGTATACTGTGTCGGATGCGGCGTAATATTTTTAAAAGCCCATTGTAAATTTTGATGCGCAGCTAGCTGTCTAGTTAATTTGCGACTTTGCTCACAACACATTCTTAATAATCCATAATAAGCTGGCAGCATGGATCGATTAAACATAACAACATCATGGTCATCATGATCAGCCCTAAAATTTACACGCATATACATTATTTATTACTTAACATAAAAATAAAATCAGGTATAAATTAAAAAAGCCATTGAAATACTTTAATCTGAATATTGCAGAGTGTAAAATATTGTCCTAGATACGGCAACAATATTCATTCAACATTTTCAATTCACATTCATTAATTAAAATAATTATATAAAATGAATATTAATATTTTAAGAAAACCACATCAGCACATTGTTATTATCACAAAGTAATATTTTACTAGATAATGTTTTAATAATTTTGATAACTCATTTATACTTACAAAATATAATTAAATGCTATGTTTCTCGTAATATCAACATTTTGTACAACTATTTGAGCATTTTCTGGACAGTCAACTGTTATGTGGTGCCAAAACACTAGTAATGCCTGTTTATTATGATGAGCTGCAACACTGGGTTCTGATAATCTCGGATGAAACAAGTCCCATAGAGCCCTTATATGAGGTCCAACCTATAAGAATTTTTATTTTAATGAAATAAAATAAATACATAATTATTTTATTGCAATACCAATAAAACAAAACATATTTCTGAAATAATCATTACAATTATAAAAATTCTAATATGAAACAACAATTTTTCACAAAAAATTGCAAAAAGTTAGTAAAGAACATTGTAAATGTTTCTAGTATTAATTACATTTATTTACTTATTTAAATAAGGTCATACATATTGAATCATATTGAAGAAATCATTTATATCCCTGGAGTTATAAAAAAACGAAAAATTCGAAATGATTGCCAATTTATAGTACAACAGACTGTAAATGAAATCATTTTAATTAGATCATTTGAAATGCTTTGAGATATTATATGGAGTAGCAAAATAATCATTTCAAACTTTATAAGAAACTTAAATTTCAAAACAAAAATATTACCATCAATTTTTCTGTCCTGCCGCTAGCAAAATACGTCATCAGTGTAAAATAAGATGTAAGTTTTAATGTTCCATGCGAGGGTACATCAGCATAATGTCTAGCTGGTCTTAGTAACCGCAAAAGCAAACCCAACACTTGCCTCTGCACAGCTGTAGCTTCTGGTGGCAATTCTCGAATAGCTTGTTGTTGCAATTGCTGTTGAGCCACAGTTGTGGCTACAGTTGCAGCTGTGGATGCTATACGAGTTCCATGGTACGCTTGCCTGAAGGGCAAATGTGGCACTAGAGAAACTAGCAAATACGCAGCAGCTAAAAAAAGACAATATTATATATAATAGTACAACTTGGATTACTTCATTTGCAGTAATTTAAAAAAAAATTGTTCAAAATAGTTTTAAAAAAAATCTTTCAGGCTTATAAAAATGTTTTGTAAAAAAACATTTTTCCAACTTGTCCATAGTTTATATGATTGTCACATTATTCTAGATTAACATATTAAAATATATAAATTTTTTTCTTCAGAATATATATAGGGCTATAATCATGGGTGTGGTCAGATGACAATTTTTTGAAACCCTCCATTTTATCAGCTTCTAGAATTGAATTTTTATGACATTTTTTTTCAGATTCTAAAAAAATTTATTAAGGGGTTAGGGGTACTTGGGATTTTTGAAAAATCGATTTTTATTTTTTTGCATTTTCATTAAGGGTAACATCTTGAAAATATTCTCTGAAAATTTCAAGTTGATCCGATGATTACTTTTTGAGTTACTGGACTCTTACCAGCGCGTTGACGCAAGTGGAGAGTTCGATACTTATACTCAAGATCATTCTCCCTCACCTCCTGATGTTTTAAACGCTTTCAAACCGATTTACGACGATCTCAGCAATGATAATTTACTTTCAAGATGTGTAGTTCAAGATTAAATCCATAATCAGAAAAAATTAAAAGCTTCAACCAACTAGTGTAAAAAATATACCTAGGAACCGTGCATACTAGTTTTACTATCGTAAAAATTGCTGAATGCATATACATAATTATTATTATTGATTATGGATACCCTAGAACCTAATTGTGGGTATAATTCCCATTGGTATGCTGAAAAATTGGATGCTGCACGTGTGAAAGTGGCAGATCAGCGCGCCAATGAGAACACTCAAGAGGCCAGAATGCTTTGTAGGCAACAGCAAATGGAAATTTTGGAAACTTGCACAATGACTGATAAACTATTATATGGCCCAGATATAGATAACTCGGTTTAAGTAATTCAATAATTCGAATTTCTGTACGTAAATCCAATGTGAAACTTTAAACGCGTTTTTCTCAAAACTATGTTTTTTGAAACGGTGACCACTGTAACTCGAAAACCACTTAGCAAATTTTAATGAAATTGATACAGCTTTTAGAATACATAATAAACTCGTGCCTGATCAAAGGATTTTTATTTTTTCAAAAATTTGAATATTTTAAGACCAATTAACTGTCGATTTTTTACCCAAAAATCTAGATTTTTTCTTTCTGATGCTGCCATTTTGTTAATTTTTGCAAAAAAAAGAAAACCTTCGATCCGGCCCGGGATTAACTATTCATAAAACTGTTTTTTTAATTTGATTGATTTTAGATGATTCTCCAAGGAGTTATGATGGTCACCGCCAGGACCGTTTTTCGAAACAGGGTCAACAAAAACAGCTATAACTTTGGGAATAATGATTTTTTTTTCTGATATTTTTGTTACATCAAGTCAAAACATTGTATAATAATGCTGTATTAATATTTTTGTAGAAAAACATCGTTTAATAACAAAAAAAAAATACTGAAAACACTCATTTTTTCGTGCCTGCAAGTACCCCTAACCCCACCCCTTAATAACTTGAAAAAAATATATAGTAAAACTATTGTCTTTTTTTTATGGTCTTTCAATAATTGCACAAATTCATGTCCTAAACCAGAATACACCATTAAAGAATCCACACTTTTAAAATAAATCTCTGTATGACCAATTTTGTATTTAAATTTTAATTTGAATTTTATTTTTAAAATTTAAATTTTAAATTTACCTGATCTAACCCTTTGATTATTATGAGCTATAAGAAAATGCTCAACCCAGCAATCTGCACTTTGTAAAACCCAAGCATGTGCCATTTTATTCCTTGGAGCCTGCACCGCAAGCCATTCTAAAGCACTATGAGGACAAAACTCTGCTGCATCCCACACGCGTTGCAGAGCCAAATTGCTGAAACATGGGAGCCCCGAAGGACCAGCAGATGCATCCGTTAGAAGGGTCAGCAGTTTAAAAAACGGTGCACATAACTATCAAACAAACAAAAATTTCAGGTGAAAATAAAGGATCTATGTAATATAGGGAATATAAAAATCATCATAACATCATCTGGGCAGATGATGCCAATCATCAATCTACACTTATAATAAAATCAAAAACTTTCAAATCAAGTTTGGTGAAATTTAAAATTTTAAATATATTGATGCCGTTCAATTCATGACATAAGTGTTTCATAAATAGTAATAAATTTAGTATTTGGTTAATCTGTGTGCAAATACTTATATGGAGTATACTTATACTATATTTATACTACACTCTCTATTTCTTGATTTAAAGGCAACAAATTTATTCGGTAATGATAAGTATTATTCCTTAAGGTTATGCAATATTATTCTTCAATTTTTCATTATTAAAATTGAAATTATGTTCTTACCTCTGCATGTTTAGTTATGGAATGAAACATCATGGCAACTATTTGTGTTGCAAGTCTTTCATTATAACGACATAATGCATGCACTAATAAGCGTGTATGCTGAGGATTTAATCCATCCCTTATTTGCTGATATAGAAATGGAAAACCCTAAAAATAATAATTAAAACTTTGTTAAAAATATTCTATAAATAGTATTGATAATTAGTTCTAATTGTCAATACTATTAAATAATTTACATTGAATCAATAAAATGATTTTGTAAATCAATATTATTTCACCTTTGCGAAATATAAGTAATTAATTAAATGTATCAAATTAAATCTAACCTTTCCACCTGCTATCGCGCTAAAGTCTCTATTGCTTAGCTGAAGATTATGATCTGGTCCCCGTGATTTTTCAACCAAGCTTGCTACTAATGCAACCATTTTATCTAAAGAAGCAGGGCGTGGTTTGTCATTGCAAAGCCCTACGGATGAGCATCCTAAAGAACCTGGCCCAACTGAAGCGCCAACAGTGCCTACAGGAGTGGTGGACGCAGGCTGCTCCTCGCTATCAGAACCACCGGATTGCTCTTGCTAAAATAATATATAATAAATTTTATTGCAAACTATTATTAATATAAATTGGATATTTTTAAAACATTTATATCAATATTATTTCATATTGCACAAGTTATATTTATTCAACATTTATTCAATAGACAAATCAACAAATAGTTTTTTTTTTCACATTTAACACGTTATTTCTAAACTCTTATAAAAAATATTGAACACAAAAAATTCAATAGAAAATTTTGTGTTTAAAATTATATTAAAATCACTTAATAAATATAACTTACAGTTTCTTGTTGTGATTTTTGTCCGAGATAAAATTCGACTACACAATGTATGACGCCTATCCGTAGTAAAAATGCAGATTCCTCATCTCCCATTCGGGAAAATTCTAATAATAAACCAAAATATTCTGAAAGGTGACGCAAATGTGCCCTGGCTCCATGTTCCATCTTAAAAAAAATTAATTAAATTGAAACATATTTAAAAAATGTATAGTTTAGGATTCGCAGAAGACGAATTACAGCTGTTTATAATAAAAGAGATCATTTGTTGACAGAATGAAAAAATCTTACCAATGAAATGAGTGATCTAATAAATCTTGTAACACATGATTTGCCACCTAGACTTTCTTCGGGTAAAGCATTTTCATCTTCTTCACCCTTTAGATATAATTGAAAATGTGATTGTCTGTAAAATAAGAAAATTTATTTGGTGAGATAACTAAAGATCGCAACAAACATTTATTGTTTCTAGTATAGTTTAATTATATATGTAACATTTAAAATTTGAAACAGTATTCATCATATTTCTGAATTTATTCCTAAATAACAATTATTTTATATTATATAGTAATTATCAAAATATATAAGTTGATAAGTGTCAAAGGTTATTTTCTCTTTGAGGTCTTATCTTAAAATGCCTAGTGTGAATTTATTAATTACAATTAATCTCAATTTCGATAAGCTCTGTGCTATAACTATTAATTTTTATGTTATAAAATTTTAGCAACATACCTCAATCTTTGGATAACATGTATACATAGCCTTTGAAACATTTGTCGAACCATTTGATTTGGGCATTGAATGAGAACTTGTAGAGGCCACCAGGGCTCAGAACACATTTGTTCCAAAAACCATTCACAAGCTGGTTCAGAGCCATTAAATTGTTTTGTAAGTAGCTCAACCCATTGTACCATAGTTGGCTAATGATAAAATATCAACATTTATACACATGATTATTAATAAACATTAACAATATTATATTTACAAATACCTTTTCCTTTGCATGAATGAATGTTTCAATAAAAAATGATGTTGAAAGTTGAGCAGCCAAACACGTTATATCCGGTTGTTCAGTGATGAGCGTCTGAGGAACATGGCCACAAATTTGCCACATAAAACTGAAAACATTATAAATAAATATTGTAAAATAGTATGAAAAACCATATAAATTTAAAATTTAAGTGAACAGCAAATAAAACTAGGTAAAAAACTCATTTTGCATATCAATAATAGAGAAACAATCTAAATTTGAAAGCAGTGGCGGATCCAGCCTCGGCGTCAGGGGGGGGTCATAATTTTTTATAGTCCTCAATGAGTATGTAACAAATTTAATATATATATATATATATATATATATATATAAGATAGAGCGGAGTTTAGAGATTTGCTGGTAAAAAGGTCCACCACCGATATCTCAAAAACAAGTAAAGTTAAGGATTTCATAACAACAATATTTGAAAGTAGAGGGAAAAATGTACAACCAGCCATCACCCTGATTCTTACGACGTTAAAAAAAGCATTTTTACAAGAGATAAATTGAATAAATATTTATTCCAACACTGCTGGTGAATATTTTGAACACAATATCAAATCAAAGTTATATACAGAGTTATCGCTTTAAAAAATGTATCTATAAAATTCATATTTTTCATTGGTTGAATAATGTAGCTATTATTTCGTTAAAGACTTTTAAAATTAAAAATAGGGAATTGGATTGTTTGTCCTCTCGTCGTCCGATTTTACCCCGCCTATGGGGTAAAAAAAGACCAAGTGACAAATTTTTTAACAGCAAAAAACACATTTTTACAGTGATGAATTAGCTGGAAATTGTAATGTATTGCATTGCTCAAAGTTAAATTGGACCCGCCTAACCTTATATATGTGTATTTTTTTTTTAAATAATCTGCGTCTTTGACGTGAGTCAAAATTTGACCTTTTCTCGACGTTTTCTCGTCTGAACCGATGTTAAAATTTAAAAACTATAAAATGAAACTGGATAAGCGCTTGCGTTGATTAGTTTTTTGAGACAATTGGTCGATCCGTTTCTTTACTATTGGCAGAAAAGTGCAAAAATTATCGTCCATGTTTTTGTCAAAAATTCTTAACCGTTTTTGCTTAAACTATTCGATTGATATCATTTAGAAAGAAATGGTTTCTGGCGAAGATTTAAGTGAAACTTTGCATGGCGATAGAGTATCTGTTCTAAATGAACGTACTAAACTATATTAAGGCCTGCGACAAGTGGTTTACTTATGATAATTAAAGTTTGAATTATTTGGCCGCGCTTTTAAAAAATGTATTCGGCTTCGTATTTCGTATGTGTTCGTTTTCCATCAATGTGTAATATTCAAACCATTTTTCAACTACTTGGTTTGGTATTTTGCCTTGAGGCAAGTCACATGAACTTTCCGATATGATTAAATAATCGACTTAATCAATAAAAAATAAATTAATTTATGAGTGATTAGGAGTATTCCGAGTGGATTTATTAAACATAATTGAAAAGGAACCAACACGTTAATCGGAGTATTTTCTAAAAGCAAATTTTCAAAAATCAATAATTTTTTAATTGAACCAGTTTCCGTAGGACTTTAATGATTTATTACGTTTATTAAGACCAAGTACTCTATCGTTATACCAAGTGAATCGTTTAATTTTAATTTTAACAAACGTCAAGAAAACTACTCATTTTCTCAAACTTTGATGATTTTTTAAAATTAAACTACTTGTCGTAAGGCCTTATTAATTCAGTAAGTTCTATAAGACCATGGTATATATCGCCAAAAAAAGTTCCATAAACATCGTCTTAATTTTTTTTTCAACAGTAAATTACAAGAAAACGGCTTGGTAGATTTTCACCTAAAACTAATCAGTATCAATCCCAACTCATATCTTACGAACAGTTTTTGATTTTTTAAAATCGATTCGGTAGAATGAGCTTAAATGTGGACGAAAAGTTTAACACTTTTTTTCAAATTTCAAAGAAACGGCTCGGCCGATCGTCACACAAAAGTGACAAGCGATAGTCCTCATTGAGACACATCAAATGGTTTTTAAATTTCTGAAATCGGTTCAGGCGTTTTTGAGCAATCGTCGATGAAAGGTCTAATTTTGACAAATGCCAAAAAACGATACTAATTTTTGCAAACTTTGACGAATTTTTAAAGTTAAACCAATTGTCGTATGGCCGTAATATTTTAGTATGGTCTAGAAGACTATGGTATCTACCGTCAAAAAAATAATGATAAAAATTGCCAAAAAAAAAAGTTTTACACTTTATTACAAGAAAACGGCCCGGCCGATCTTCTCCAAAAACTAATCAGCACGATTCCCAACCAATATCTTTCGAACGGTTTTTGAATTTTCAAAATCGATTCAGAATTGCGGGCTAAAACGTAGACGAAAAATTTTTCACTTTTCTGCAATTTACAAAGAAATGGCTTGGCCGATCGTCGCACGAGATACATCGAATGGCTTTTAAATTTTTGAAATCGGTCTAGCCGTTTCTGAGAAATCGTCGATTTACGGCAAAAAATCTGTTCACATACAAACACACACATACTTTTTCCAAATTTGGTCTCATTCGATTCAGAATTTTTTGATGAAAACATAAACTTCTCCTTCGGGAAGTTAAAATTAACTACAATATTTAAAAAAAAAAAATAGTTTGCATTAGTTTCTCACTTCAGAATGGTTTACAGCAATTAGGTATACTTTTATAAATCAGTCATTAATAACTTCCGGTAGGGTAGTTATAGTAATGAGCAGAAAATCTAAAATGAATTTTTTTTTGAAATTGAAAAAAATTAAAAAACTGGCAGTTTTTCAGAGAACTGGGCGATCGATTTGAATGATTCAAAGAACTTTTTGCTTGTTTTGACAAAATAATTGTTTTTAAAAAAAATTGCTTTTTTTTGTATATCGAAAATAATTCAGATTTTAATTTTAATTCTGACTATAGTTTAAAACTTATATACTTCAAATAAATAGTTTTAACTTTGCAATTCAGTTTATGATTCTTATAAATATTAGACATTTTTACAATATTTGAAATAATCTATTTGAAAACATTTAATATTTGTCGAACATTTCGTTACGGTACGGGAAGTTCCAGCAATTTGCCAAGGCACGATGCCATACACCACTAGTTCATATATTGAGTAAGTCGTCTATTTACAGATGTTAGAATTACTGAAAGTTCATGCGTAAGGCCGACTCACAATCAGTTTTATTTTTTAATTTTTGAATGAATTTTTCTTTTCTAAACTGTAATAACATATATATTCGCAATACGATTAGAAAATCCTTAAATTTTAGGGTTTTTGACTCCGCCATTCGTCTACAATCAGTTAAATATTCAAGTTATAAAATGTGTTTGGTAACAAAATACATAAATAAAATCATTATGAAGTAATTTTATTGTTGAATTAATGTTTTATCTAAGTCCTAAAACATGCTCAGGGGGGGGTCATGACCCCCGTGACCCCCCCCCCTGGATCCGCCACTGTTTGAAAGTGACTAAATGTTTAAAGTAAAAAAATACTGACTTGAAATAAGTATGCTCAAAAATATTTCTGTCTTGCAAAAAATGTTGATTATCTTGCCAAATCCACTCTTCGAGCTCAGGTGATAAATCTAATGTAATAGCTTCTCTAACTTGTTGCATCGGTGCATGACACTGTTCACTTGTTGTTTCAGATGTTGAAGCTTCGGATGTTGTGGAGGTCTATATAAAATAAAATAAAATAATTTGTTTAAATCAAATTTGATGCTTTTACATATTAAATCATTTAATAACATTTTATATTTTTACATAATTTGATAAAAGATTAAATGCTAAATACGAAATTTGGATTCTTTATACTTAATTTATTTAAACTTAGCAATATTTTATATATCAACATTTAAGGGGCACACCTGTGTGAAATTTTCAAAAAATCGAATTTTGAATTTTTCCATATTTCGATAGGTTATACCTTTAAAAATAACATACTAACATTTTAAATCGATATCTTAAAAAGTTTTTGAGTTACAGCCATTTAAAAGAGTATATATATAGTATATAGTTTTAATGATCATTTTATCTTTAAACGCGTTTTCCTCGAAACAGCATTTTTCCAATTCGCTGGAGTGATTACTCGGAGACAAATGATCCGATCGCTATCAAATTTTTTTTTTTGCATCTCATCTATATTGTTCTCCATACGATGACCCTTCAGTTTTTTATCTGATCAAAACTCGAATTTTGGCAGGCCTAAAACGACCAGAATTTTGGGAAAAATTTAACTTTTTTTCAACATGCCGCCATTTTGTCAATTGATATTTGATATTTTTGTTCGCCCGTTTTTGTTTTATTTTTTATCAACGAAGAAGGCTGCAATCACTCCAGCAGTGGAGGACCTTTTTTGGCGCCGCCGAAGATCGCGTGTAATTTCAAAAATATTTAATATTTTATTTCAAAAATTTTACTGCGTATTCTCAAAACATGTATAAATGTACCCTCAAAATTTTAAATAGATGTATTCACTAGTTTTGACATTTTTTTAATTCCCTAAAATGACTTTCTTTTAGGTTGTCACACTAGGTGTGCCCTTTAAGAATAAAATCTAATTGGAAACAATTTTCAAAAATATTAACCTGAGCTTCTATCGAAACTTCTGAAGCTTCACCTCGTTGACTCTGACTACCATCCTGAGATCTCCATTCATAAAACAACATATATGCACTATTTGTTTTCTCAAAACTAAAATCCAAATATTTATCAGTCACAGAATCATAAGTTTTACTCTGGAAAATAAAAATAAAATTAATTTTTCAAATATTAGGGAAAATGCCAAACTTGATATTCAACACATATTGAATTTAACTTATTTTGTTCTATTTGTTGAACTAACTTTGCTTTGTAAGTTTCAGCATAATGAGTTATGTTATCATGTTAAATAAGTTGTTGAAATACACAATACACACAAATAAAACAAACTATGGAGGGAGAAAGTAAGGTAGAAAATCTCCCTCCCAACTAATTTTAAAATATTATTGACTAAAAAAAGAATATATACTACTATATACTTTATCCAATCCAACAACATAAAATTGTAAAGTTGATTGATAAAGTGTATGTATGACTAATATACTTGTATACAAAGAAAACAATTGAAAAAAAAAAACTAACCGTCATTTCCCCTCCAAAGCACTCAGCAGCAATCTGACTAGGATCAAAGATTTTCACTTCGGCGTCATTAAAAAGCAGCCATCTCGATGAAGATTCATTTTTATTATTGGTCCCTGTAACCGTATTGGCATCACCCCTTTCTCTGATAAAGCTATAATAATGTCCTCCATCTGCAGTTCCCGTATGTACCGTCACACCAACCAGGTCGTACCTGAAAAATTAAGATAAATGAAATGAGAGAGAAAGAAATGGTTTAAGCTTCAATTTCACTACTACACTTACTCATAATGCTCATTAAAATCTTCAGTATCACATGGGTCATCATCTGAAATTTTTTCAGAAGAATCATTTTTCTTTGGTTCAGACTTATTTAATTCAGACTTCTTTTTCTCTTCTAAAATTTATCATTAAAGTTAACAAATAATTATAACTTTTCATACATGTTTCATTTAGTTTTAAATATGTAAAAGTTTTAACCTTGATAATGCTGTGGCATCAGTTCTTTTTCAACATATCCAGACATGTCCAGTCGTAATGGAAATGAAAAATGTGTATTCACTTTTTCTTTAAGCATCGTCAACATATTGAATGTGTATCGCATTGTGTTAAAACATAAAATGTGAGGTAATTTCTTGAAACACGCCCTAAAAATGCAATATTATTTTTGCATCATAATATATTTTAATATTATAGTTATTACTATTTGTGTAAATAGTATAAATGTTATGATTAATTTTCCTTAAATTGATTGAATATAAATTTACCGTTTTTCAGCCCTAACTTTTCTTCCACATTGTGAACAAGTATACATATTATCACCATCTAAGGTATCTTTCACTGTAACTTCTGCTAAACTCTCATGAAGATTCCTCATGTCAGCCACTTGGCATCGAACTGTATAAAACTCCTCTAGTGTTCTAGAAACATGCTCACAATCTGTAGATAGAAAT